TTTCCTTCTCACTCTTGAGGGAGCAGGACAGGGTCAGTGATTTGCTTGGTGAGCTGATCTGTGGATTGGGTTCTGGCAGGGTGTGTTGGATACCCTGCAGAAGAGAGTTTGTTTAGCCATTCCTGACTGTAATTTGCTGACTGTAATCCCTCACTGAAATACAAAGATAAAACATTGCTATGGTCACTAAGTGCAGCACCTGCTCATATGCACCTGTTAGTGCTCTGAAAGTGCTGTTAGGACCTAGTGGTTATACTGAGCTGCTGCTTTTAGATGTGAGAACTGGCCCAAGATCCTGTTAACACTGAGGGAGTAATTCTTCACATATGAGGTGTTTATTGGGTTTATTATTGGGGGAGCAGAAAATTCTTCTTAGTGTGTTCATATGCACATGGTGCTTTCTTAATGAGCATTCATTTCTGTCATTTTTTTCAGGGGAAAAGTTGAGATTATTCCAACAAGCTGTAAGAGACTGGGAATGTGTTCTTGTCTAGCTGTAAGAGGTTGAGAAGTATCTTTGTGTAGAATAATGTTGATGAATATTCAGTTTTAGAGAAGGAAAACAATATGTTTGAATTTCATGTTATGTACGAAATATCTTTTAAGCTTCAGATCTCTTCTTTAGAGTTAGGAAAATGGAGAGCTGATTGTTTGAATTTCATGTTATGTACGAAATACCTTTTAAGCTTCAGATCTCTTCTTAAGAGTTAGGAAAATGGAGAGCTGATAGAGCTTTTGATGAAATTCATTGCAAATATGCTTTATGGAGGGTAACCCATGCTTTCTTTACACTGTATATGCAGGTGATTAATTAGTAATGCTCAACTTCAGATGGCTTGAAGTTCAAGTATTTGACTAGGAGAGCATTTCAGGTGATTCGTGAATAAAATGTGCTTTGAGAAATCCCTTTTTTTTGGTGTTATCTCTTTCTATTTGCCCTCTGTTCTGCAAGTAGTACTCAGTTCCATGAAGATCCTGTTTTAACAGATTGGTGTATTTGCAGAGTGATTAGCAGGTGTAGCCAATACCTTCCTTAAGGGACTGGTGGAATAAGTGGTAAGCCCATGATGTTTGAGGTCTGGAAGTACAAGTGAAGCAAAATATCTGTGAGCTTTTCTTTTTTATTTGAGTAAGACAATGAATGCAAACCCTTAGAGAGTAAAATCAGCACTGATTGCTGCGTCGTTTTCAGTGTGACTATATCACTTCATTAAAAAAACCCCAAACAAACAACAGAGGTACTTGACACCCTTTAAAAATACATCTCATTTTCCTTTTGAAAACCAGAAACTTCTTCTGCTTTCATCAATTAAAACTTGTGTTACTGTTCCCAGTGCATGTTTCCTCTGATGGCTAGAGACTTAAAACTTGTGTTACTGTTCCCAGTGCATTTTTCCTCTGATGGCTAGAGACATGCCTAGCAGAATGGCCCCACTGACTGGTTTGTTGAGCCATGTCCAGACAGGTATGACATTCCCTGAAAACTCTTGGAGCTATTGCCTGATAATGTCCTGGCACTTCTGGTGCTTTGTTCTTGATAGCCTGCAGAGAAATAAAAGCAGGTTCCAACATGAAAATTGTCGCTCTGAGTTGTTTTGTCCTGCAGATAGCAGACCTGTCTTCATGCACTTCATTCAGCTAATACCTCCCAGTCATTCTCTGATTGGATTTGTGGACTGTAGCTCTCTCTGTTCCCAGCCATTTGGTTTAATTGACTATGATGAGGGTTTGGTGCTTGAAAAACCTTTTCGTCAGTGCTGATGACAGTGGCTAATCAATGATTCATAAATGCTTTCTTCAAAGTAGTATTTAGTCCTCTCCCCACACAGAGTAGAGTAGAACAAAGGGTGTGTGTGTAGTTGCATCTCTGTTCTCACCTGCAGTCTGCCCCAGGTTGACTTTGCCCTGGTGACTGTCGGTGGCCACTCAAAGTGGGTGAGGCATGTGGTGGCCCAGTCAGTCTGGGGACTGAAAAAAATCCTTCCTTCCCCAAACACCTTTACCCTTCAGGATGGCATCTTTGCAGCTTGTGTGTTCTCTCTCACCTTGTAGTTTTGGTGAACATCCTCACAGATTAAGTAAAGTGAGGTGCAGAGCAGCAGTACTGCTAAAACTGTTTCCATGCTGTTTCATGTCTTTTGGTGCATCTTAGCAGAGCATCTCAGTTTATTCATTTTCCATTATTCAGTTTGCTGTTGGTTGGTTCCTTTTTTTAAAATTGTGAATCCAGTCATACTAAAAAATACAGACAACTGCTCCTCAATACAGGCTCCCTGTATAATATAAACTATTTAAAGTTTTTGCTTTCTCCCAGTTTTCAGTCTAAAAAGTTGTTTGGCTTAGTAAGTCCATGCAAAAAAGTGAGGTGTAAATCTGCTCCTCTAAGATACATTGGGAGGTCATGAAAATCCGTTGTCTGGTCTTAATGCTGTAATGGGAAACTTTACTGAAAGCTGAAGTTATTCAGAAGGACCTGAGAAGTGTTCTTAGATAAATCAGGCCTTCTCTCAGAACCTAAAATAAATAAAAGCCATGCAGCAGGTAGAAGCAGCCTCTAAAGTGCAAATGCTCTAGGTAGAACAGGTACAGAGAAAAGGCAGCAGATGGAGCTGAAAATAATTGCAAATAACTACTTTTGCTTAGGGTTACATTCTCAGTGAATCAAACTGATTTAGCTGTGAGACAGGAGGGGGCAGATAACTACTGGTAGCTGGTATAAGGTCAGTGAGCACTTCCTTAAAGAGATCGCACACAGCAGTTATTTTCGGGCTCTTTCAATTTAGAAACCCCTTCAGAGTAAATTTGGCTCAGATCTGCTGCTCCTTTATAGTTACGAGGAGCTGACTGGTCTAATGGACTGAAAGAATTGAGGAGCAGGTGAGAGATGAGAGAGTCTTGTGCATCTCATGCAAATGACAGGATAAGGAATGGGCTGTATTTCTGCTTGGTTTTAGCTTTGGAGAATTTAAGAGCTGCAAACAGGTTCAGGAAGGCTGAGGTAAGCAGCTCTAACCCTTTCAGGCTCTGGTTCTGTGAAAAATCAATCGTGTTTGGGGAACAGCTTCAGTTGTTATCATGGAGTAGGATGTGCTGCCAGAATTAATGGTAATATAGGTGCTAATATTTGCTTTATGAAAGAGGGATGATCATTGTATCCTTCCCAGGAATTTTACCCTGGGTGGTTCTGTACAGAGAATCATAGCTAACTGTAAACCTGTAAGGAAAATCTATATGAACACAGCTTCCACAATACACGTGTTTGCTGCTTTAAAAAATAAGGAGCAAACAAGTTCTGTTATCTCAAATTCATGGATGCTGTTTGTTACTGGTTTTCATTTATGGAAAGTGCTAATTAAGTACTGAATATTGCCATGAATAAATGCAAGTTTTATTTGGGGAAAAGTCTCTGTGAGAGACAGCTGAATTGTATTTGTGATTGCACTTCAAAGTTTCAGTGATCCATATCTTGCAGGAGACATATTCAATATTTTTTCACGCTGTCATAGCAGATCTGGTAGTAGAGATCCGTTAAGGGATGTGATTATATAGCATCTGATTCCTCAGCTGATAAAAAACTGGGAATTAGCTTTGTTTCAAGGTTTTATACTTGTGTGATTCAGAGGGAGCCCCATGTCAGCAGGCTTTAATGTGGAAGGGTTGCTTCATACCACAAAGAAGTGAGAAGCAGTACCAGAAAGACAGGTGGGAAAACATCCACTGATGATCATAATGATTCACAGAGAATTCTTCCCATAGGAATAATAAACTTGTTCACATCATGACTGAATTGCATGTGATCTTGCAGTGCCTTTTTACCAATGTTTGCGTAAAACCTTGTTGCTAAGTGTTGCCCATCCCTGAAGGAGTTCCCACATGGTGTGCAATCCCATTTTTGGAGTAAGACAACTAACACTGTTCTATCACCACTGAGAAGACCTATATGGTGAAGCAGTCAAATGCTGCAGGAAAATTGTTGCTTTAAGTGATAGCAGGATATGTTTAAAGAAACTTTCTGTACTAAGAGAAAATGTTTTGTGGCAGAAGTAATTGACTTTCATCTGGTATGATCAGGGTTCATTTCACTTTTTAGCAACTTAATGGAGCGGCATAAGTGAGAGGCTGTGCTTCTGGCAGGGACCTGTCTGCAGATGACAGCAAAGCCTCCCTGAAGGAGAGTCAGCCCAGTAACCTGGACCTACCCTCTGCTGGGCCCACCCTTGTTCATTAGCTGGGTACAAAGGCCAGTGCAAGTAGGCTAATTGCCTGTCTGTACCTAGATGGGACTGATCTGGGCATGTGACTCAATGTATGATGGGCAGGAGAAATTGTAGTGCTCTAGGTGGTAATTCATAACAAAATTGCTTTATTTGCTATTAGAAAGTTCTGCAGAGTGAATTAACTTAAGCTGTTTTTCAGCTTTGTGCTTCCATGGGGAACAAGCACGCGATTGTGGTGATTCTAGTTCTTCGTTTGAGTCTGTTGGTGTTAAAGATACAAGGCAGCCATGAAAGATGTGTGAAGAAAATACTACTTTAAAAGCAAGTTTAATTTCTTACCCTCCCTTTAGGGAGCTGTTTGAACCTATTCTACTCCCAGGTGACTGGGTATTCTTCCAGGGCTGAATTATGCCCATGTGGAAAACTAACACATTGGAGCTAATAACTGAGTGCTCACAAGGCCCTAGTTACTCTGCAAATCAAAGGAGAAGAACCTGAAGAGAGTTCTAACATGACTGGAGTGGTCAGGGTGGTAATTTGCAAAGGTGATGTTGAAATAGTGTCATTAGTGGTGGTGTATGATGCATAGGTGCTTACTTGTGTAAAGTATTGTGTGAGGGTTCAGCCTGCAGATTGTGAGCACCAGTGGTGGTTAGTTAGTGTGTCCTTTTTTGGGTTGGATTTTCAGATGCATCATTCAGTGAACACAGTAATATGGATTTTTTTTTTGTATTTCCCACGCTGAAAAAGGGCGGAAAAAATCTATGAATTACTTTTTTTTAGGAGAATTACTGAAGTTTGGATTGCTATCTTGATACTATAAACCTGCAATAAGTGGCAATGTCAAGGGTTCCCACCCCACCTCCTCCTGGGGAGATGTCCAGTGGACCTGTGGCTGAAAGCTGGTGTTACACACAGGTAATCTACATAAATTCCAATGGATTTATTTTCTAGTTGCAATTATTGTTAAAAAAACCCACCCCAAAGTAAAGTTATTGGCATATTGAAAAGTTACTGCTGATAGTATAACTACTTCACATAGTTAATGCTTGAGATGTAAGTTAAATTTTCTTAACATTTTCTACATTTTTTGTTCAGGTTAAAGTAGTAAAATTTTCCTACATGTGGACCATTAATAACTTCAGTTTTTGCCGAGAAGAAATGGGTGAAGTTTTAAAGAGTTCTACCTTTTCATCAGGGCCAAATGACAAAATGAAGTGGTAAGGTCTTTATTCTAACAAACTGCTTTGGTTTTATTTTGGGTTACTTTTACTCATGAAAATCGTAAAGTTAAATTGCAAATAAATATTAAAACTTGGACATTTGTTGAAGTTTTAGTATAGGTATGGATTGGTCCTAATTTCAAAGTTTCAGCAGTCACAAGGGAAACATTTATTTCTGTAGCATGTATTGTTGTGTCTTGTAAAAATATTCCTGAATTTATTCTGGATACCATGTGAAAATTACAATTTCTCCATTTCTTTCAGGTGCCTGAGAGTGAATCCAAAGGGATTAGATGATGAAAGCAAAGACTACCTGTCATTATACTTGCTTTTAGTCAGTTGTCCAAAAAGTGAAGTCAGAGCAAAATTCAAATTTTCCCTGCTGAATGCTAAAAGAGAAGAAACAAAAGCAATGGGTAAGGGAATATTAATGTATTGCATGTGGATTTGTAAGAACATCCCAAAGAACATCAGCAATGTAATTTTTTTTTGGGTTGAGAAAAGAATTTAATATTGAGATGAACTCTAAAATTATCTTTTTTAATATCCTTTTAGAAACTTAATTAAAAATTCCTGTTCCTCTTTCACACATTTCTGATCACTGAGCTATGTTAATTCTATGCTGAGCAGTATAAATTACAGCACATTGCTAACTGCTGTCACTCCAGGTTCTTGTCACTTAGTTTTTCTAGCAGATTATTCTTGCTTCCTGCTAGTAGAGGTGTATTTGCTTGTTTGTAGCTACAGTGGAAGTGAGTGTTTGATTTCCATAGTTAATTAGGATAAACATGCATGGCTGTGTTTTTTAGACACCTCTTTACAATGTTTTGGTTTATTTCATCTGATTTACACTGTAATCAGTTTTAAAACATGAGCCACGTACGCAAGGAATTGGAAGACTTTGAAATAACTGTTGATTTGATTTAATTGCCTGCTTGATTGGAAAAATGTATGGAAGGCTCTTAGATTCAAACCTACAAGCACAACCTTCATTGGAAGCACTTTATGGGAAATCTGGCATTTTCTTGAAAGTGATTTAATGCTGATCTGCACTGAGTTTGTGCTGTTGCCAGTCCTATATAGGAAGAATCTTTCTACTTTTCTTCCCTTCTACTCCAAGACTTAAGAGATCTTTCAGAATCTGTTTGCTACAAGTTCTGGATTTCTCAGGAAAAAAATCTGTAGTTCTGTAGTGCTTGTACCTGAAGTTTATGCTATTTCTCCTTATGTAGCTAGCTAGAATTATTTCTCCTATATTTCTCCACTTGTAGTCTTTGAAGTAAATCCACAGAACTAAGTGCAAATCTCAAAATCAAACTGCTGTACTTTTTGGGAGGAAAGTAAAATGTCTATGTTTCACCCTACTTATCCTCTATTACTGATGGAGATGCTTCAATCCCTGCAAGTCTTCTGGTTCTGGAGCTTATATGAGCAAAGCTGCACTTGCCTTTGGTGAATCTTTTGGCTTGAGACAATCTTCCAGTCCAGCAGTGGTTTCGTGTTTGGAATAAAATGTGAAACTGCAATGTTTTTTTGAGATTATTTGAGATAATCATGGAATCACAGAATTGTTGAGGTTGCACAGGACCTCTGGAGGTTGTCTGCCCCAAAACCCCTGCTGAAAGCAGGGTCAGCTGGAGCAGTTTGCTTGGGACCTGTCATGCTTTGAATATCTCCAATGGTGGAGATTCCACAGCTTTTCTGGGCAGCCTGTTTCAGTGTTTAACTAGATGCTGCTGGGCCTTTTTTGCCTTAGGGGGTTCATTGTGGGCTTTCATTCATTTGTTGTCCAGCAGGACCCCAATCTGCAGTCACCTATTTCTTCCTGATAGTAGCTCTGCAGCAGACACCAAGCCCAGCATTGCTGACATTGGCCTGCCCTCTAATCCTGATGCCTAAACTCTCAGCTGGTTCCTCATCCATTGCAATGCTAAAAATCACAAGGTGCCAAAAGCCCAAAATCCTATGAGTAGGTGTGTCTTCAGTTTCTGCCATAGTAGCTGTGCTGTATTTGGCATGACAGGAATTATAAATATCTTTTCACTTTGGGAAATTGCCAACAGAAGTCTTATTTCTTGGACTTTCCAGCCATTTGCCATCTGCTTTTGGAGATGCTCTGTGTTTATTTATACAGTATGATGATGCCCCACTTCAGATGTCCTTCATATATTGATAATTCATGCATAGGCTGCTGCTTCAAGTGATGAAACTGTGTCCAAAATAGATAGCAAAGTAACATTTCAACTTTATTAGGAGATAAATATATTTACACTTTTATACAAAGCCACACAACAGCAGCATACTTACATTCCTACTGGTCACTTAATTTCAGAGGGTTAATACTGGTTGTTGCTGGTAAGAGTAAGATCTAAGTCTGCAAAATAAAGAAGTGGGATGAATCTAGAGAAGAAATTTTTGAACCCTTTCAGAGTGTGATTTTTATGATTTTTGTTTTTCATTTAATGAGGTTAAAAGTTGGTAAAAATGTGAAAACACTAATCAGATACCAAAACAACTATACCCTTTTTAAAAAATGTATTTTTCTTCTCGTCCAGATTTTAAAATATGAATGTCCTGTGTTTGTTCTGTTGCCCTCAAAGCCCTCACTGCACTTCGGTGTGTTTCCCTCTGCTCCTGTGCTCTGCATGGGTGAGGGGTTTTTGTTGATCTGTGAGTGTGATAAGGTGATAGGGATAGAGACAGCTCCTGCTGTTCCTGAGTGGTTCTTCATTGCATTCTGAAAACACAATCAAAACCTCTCTACATTATATTTTGCTTGATACAATTCTAGTGAAAAACTGTTCTGAATAGCATTTTTCCTGCTATTGGCAGTGAGGACTATGTATGACACATGGATGTGGTACATGGTCAGGTGTGTTCTACTGATGTGACCCAGTTAATTAGTCTAGTGAAGTCTGATTTT